CGACTGTTATCAATTAGAGCTTTGTTAACACAATCATAGTCCTATTTAGGCCTAAAACACTCCGTAAAATAATAAATTATTATTAAATAATACATTCTGCAATGTCGGGACTGAAGAGGATATAAAGCTACAAAGCGTCACCTAAATCTTTCCAGGAAAAGCCGATACTCATTATCATGGATAATCATGATACTTATTTTAATAGACCTAATGGATAAAGTCAAAAATTACGATCCGCATACATCGCATAAAATAAAGCCCTTGGACTGACGGGTCCATATAAAACTTATTACCACAAATCTGCAGAAGACTGGATGTTAAGCAATCCCAGTAAACCAGTAAGTCTTTAAGACGTTGCAAGAAAAGCAGAAAAAGCTTATCTACAAGCATTCACACCAAAAAATATTGTAAAACGTTTTGAGGATACAAGTTTGTGGCCAGTTAACACCAATATTTTTACACAAGAAGAATATATGCCATCGTACGTCACAGATTGACCGAAGATAACCATGGCTGGTAAATGTAATGTATCTAACGCTCCTCGTGACCCAACTTCCAATTCTTTGACTTTAATCTCAGCTGAATATTTATCTACCCCGTCTATTTCCATTTCTATTCCTGTTCCGACCACTTCTTTACAAGCTGATGATCCAACTAACTTCTGAGTCGTTAGTATTGCACTACAGTCACCTGTAACCGATCTATCTCTCAATATATTTGTAGAGTCTATATTCGTTTCCAAAAGCGCCAGCTAGAAAAGATCCACGAGGCAGAGAAAAACGTAAGAAAGGAAAAACTAGATTTTAACTGGTACACTAAAGAAACTTGCTATTATGTTGGAGCTGCTAAATGGAAAGAAAAAATCAAAGACAACTGAAAAATAACCCAAAGAAAAAGTAGAAAATAAGCTGAATAAACTTCCTTCTCGTTTTTTATCTGATATTGAAGACGATAATCAAATATCCTTCTGCGATACGTCTGATGAAATGGATTCTGATAATATGGTTGAAGAGTATTATTTTCCTGAGTTTTGGGAACACAGAAAGAAAATAAATGAGGTAGACCTTCGTCTGGTACACCACCTCCCATGTTGAAGAGGAAGAAACCGAATCATCATGCACCCCCTGAAATTAGACAAAGTAATTGGAGGCTCTGGCCACAACTAATTAATATACCAAATTCTCGAAGATGTGACTCTAAAGCTTGCAAAAGAAAAAGAAAATACATCTGTAAAAGGTGTAACGAGCCGCTGTGTCAATCGTGCTTTGAATACTTTCATACCAGTAACTGATGCTTCCGCGTTTCCGCAAGTGCATAGTGACCACTAGAGTGGATAATTTTTTTTAGGTTTTAAAAATTTTTTTTTATGTTATTTCACTTAATATACGTACTACTTTCTAATGTTAATTTTTATTATTTTGCAATAAAATAATTTTTCTAAGAACAAAAATGTTTTCCGTAAAATTACATGAGAGGGTTAAATTACCACTGCCTTAATGCATGGGAGAATCAAAAAGGTTTATCTCCCATATTAAATTCAACATATAATTTGAAAATTACAATATATTTTAATATACTCATTAAAAAATATTTTATTGTTCTTGCTTTTAATTTGGCAATAAACAATATTAAACAACATTTTAATGATTATTAAAAAATATTTAACATATATTTGTAATCAATTTTTTATACGTCCAAAGGTACAAACTCTGTCCCATGGTACCCACAAACCAGTCCAATGGTAGACGTAGCTGCTGCCCCTTTGGACAATAAGATAGAATTTTAACAAATGCATGTTGATTTTAAAATGGTGCAACTTATAGATTGTACAAAATTCAAAATGATTTAAAACAGTATGATAAAGTGGTTGCCCAAAAATGTTTGCCAAAAATGTAATTTGTCTCACAAAATAATCCAAAAGTAATGCAATGTCCAGAGGTACGCATTCTTGTCCTATATGGGTCAAGGCCACATGATCTATTTGATTGTAGGTTTAAGCATTTGGGAAAACTTTTTTCTGCCCTAGGTTCAAGACCTATTTAGCCAGACAATTAGTTGAATACGTAAAAACAATTAACTCCTACACTTTCTTTAAATTCACGACAATTTTCTAACCGTTCGTTCATTCACTCAATTTCCTAACCTTCCCATTGAAAACACTATTGGGTGACTATTCAAAAAGGATTGAACAAGAACACTCGCTTCACGTTAAAATGCCCTTCATAGCGACTTTTTTTACACAAACAATACAGGCAACGGTTAAAGTAAATGACATAAAAGAAAAGACAATTGGAAATACAACTAACGTCCTACCATTTCGGATTCACACAACTCTGAAAAAGGCAGTTTAGATTTTCCATTTGGTACGTTTGAAGAATTCCCATACAATTAATCTAATAGTTGGATTTCAACTATCTAAATAGAGAATAAAAGCAATGTTCTAAGGCAATATGATTTTTTGTTGGGAGATGGCTTGAAATAAAAATTTGATGGCTTCTTGATTATACCGACATTGAAACATCCAGTGGTTAAGGGCATCATAACTGCCATTACATTCCTATATCAGTTTCGGACGTACAAAGTATAAATTTTTCGAGAGATGGGGTTTCTGTCATTTGGGGGGAGTAAATAGAAGAGTTGCATGTATACTGCATTATGTATTTTTGCTACTGTTAGTAAAGGATTGCCACTCAATTTCCCAATTAAGTCTAACATGTTTCTTCCTAGCTGAAACTAAATCCCATTTGGGCAACTCGTTGTATTCTATACTCACTAAAGTAGCGTCTTTGACCAAATGATCTACTTTTTCATTGCCTGGAATATTAGAGTAACCTTTAACCCACACAAAGTGAACAATTCTTTTTAGAGAATTAAGGATCCTTAGATTTTCAAGCGCATCTACAATTAGTCTGTTGGTATATGTATTTAGAGAAGTGTCTTAATGCGAGAAAGATGGACTGTGAGTGAGATAAAATTATATATCGTTCGAAATATAATGTGCTATTATTTATCCAATTCAACACCTTGATAATGGCTACCAATTCAGCTGTGAATATTGAGAAATCTAATTTTCATTTTTACTGAAAATAATCTTGAATTCTGTATATGTAAATGGCACAGCCAAGACCTGCAGGCGATTTTGAGCCATCGGTATAAATTTTACAAAAATGGTTAGAGGTGTATTTTCTGTTGAGCTGTTTCGACGCCCAAATCGGGTGTCGTTGTCAAAATACAAAAATTGTTAATAAATGAAACAAAAATGTTGTTCTATTGTATGTAAACTTATTTATATTGGCAATTCAGACATATATTATACATTTTAAAGTAAAAGATTTTAAAATGATATTGCCAGTATTTATGAGTTGCGTTCCTGGGACTATATTTATATTCTAGCGCGAGAATTTTACTGTCACAATTGCATGTGGTTGTCTTTTTAAAGACAGATTACATGTTATGATTTTTTTGTGACGGATATTCTTGAGTTGGGGTTGATTTCATGTAATCGAATTAACTATGTTTCAATAAAGTCATCTCAGGAACTCAACTCATAAATATTGGCATTTTTGTACCAAGCAACAACATTTTTGTTTATTTCCTTAATAATTTTTGTATTTTGACAACGACACCCGATTTGGGCGTCGAAACGTTGTCAAACATTGTAGCTTATTTTCTATCAATACTAGTTAATTGCAGTAACGCCACAAGAAAATAGCTTCAGAACCAAATCCATATCTTCCTCTGGAGCTGAGGATAAGTGCCTTAAGATGCTACGTGTTCTCGACTTTGTTACATGGAATGAAAAGTTAGACACTAAAAGTAGACAATATACAGAAGTTGGAAGCTTTATTTAAGACGTGGTGCTATGGAGGGATTTTGAAAATACCTGGATCTAACGAGTTACAAATGCAAAAGTGTTAAGGTTACAATGTTACAAAAGGATTGCGAGGTGATAAAGTACATCAATACAAGAAAGCTGGAATATTTAGGTCGCATTACCAAAGGTGTGAAATATGAGATATTGAGCTTATACTGCAAGGTAAAATTAAGGGTAAAAGATCCATAGGTAGAAAAAGAATTTCCTGGCTGAGAAACTTAAGAGAGTGGTATAGTTGCAGCTCAATAGAAGGCTACAGGGAAAAAACCAGATATGTCAAAATTTCATAAAACCGAAGCTATTTTCTTGTGGCATTGTAAATTAATTACTATTTATAACTGGGAATAAGCCACAATTAAAGATAAAAATACGTTTATTGACGTTTCAATTTCCAATTCGGAAATCGTTCTCAAAATACAAACAGTAAATTAAACAAATTTTGTTTTTTGTTACATAGTGAAAAAAAAATTTTTTTTTTTTAATGTATATGTATATATATATAATATATATATATATATATATATATATATATATATATATATATATATATATATATATCTCTATGTATAATTCTTTTCACTCTCTAAGTATGAATGTCGACGGATGAGATACGTAATTTAGATAATTAAAACAGCTGGGGTCTTCCAGCTTGTTCTGTACTACTAAATCTTCTTAAACAATTGAAATAGATAAAGGAATTACTACAGATTACTACAGCAGGTTTATATTCATATATTATTTCATAATTGGAGCCAAAGAATAGAATCCTTTCTCGATTGAATGAATATTGTGATAAATTGGGAAAAGCAACAGCTAGAGTTGGAGAGTTTTTATTTGCACCTTTTTTTTTGTTAGATTTTCAAACAAAGACAGGAAATTTTTGTAATAAGCTATTTTGATTATTAAACTGGCATTCAAGAACAAAGTTTTCTGCCAAAAATAGACGTCTTAAATGTAAAGGTGGCCCTTGGGAAAACTTAGATTCTTACATTAACATCTTTATGTTTAAAATGTGTACCAGCTGCTGTTTTGTTTAAAAAAGTTGAATGGTTCCTTTTTCATTATTACAACTACACATTCTTTAACCAATAAAATTTCAAATAATTAGTTTTTTTTATTTTTTTAGACCATTTTAAAAGCATTGGGAACATATGCACTTGGAGAGCCACCAATTCTTCGGTTCTTAATATTTCAGATTTGTTCTCATTATCCTACGATAATATTGTGTGATGTATTTAATGGTAGATGGATTGGAACCTTGCCAACAAAGGAAAGGGCTGTAAGTAAAATTTAGCGCGTATAAACACAGATCAAGGTTAAACAATTTTAAAATGATTTATATGAAGTTAAAATTTAAAAAAAATATGTTTAAATAGGGTAAAAATTATAAGAACATGAATAGAAAAAAAAACCTATAATCCCATTTTCAATACGTCTTCCTTGGATTGGTGGATTGGTAGGATCCTATATACCAAGTTTTTAAAGACATTTTCTTTTACGAGAAAGAGTAAATATAAGAATATGAGAAGCAGAAGAATGTCTATTGACCTTAAAACGAATTGAGGATCCAGTGTATAAACTAGCCAAGTCCAATTTTTAATTAAAATATGTTGGGTAGCTATTCTTCCAGAGTTTGAAATTCCTAATCCTCCAGTGAATAAAGCAGTTCTGTACAACTATAAAAAATATGGAAAATAGCCTCTATTTTCCATATTTTAGTTAATTGCCTATATTTAAATAGGATACAGAAAGCCACGAAGATTAAACCCCACAGAAAAAGGTACCCTTAAAATGCAACGTGCAAAACGGCTTATCTCTAATAATGATGATGATGACTCTTATGATTTACAAGGCCCCAGAACTACCTCAAATATTCAGAAAATGATAAGCTTGCTGGTACTTCTGTTAAAATGATACAACGAGAGAAAAAGCGAGTTGTCCTACAAATAATAAAAAAAAAACATCAGAACTTTTTCTCAGCAGAAACAAAACCTCCTGAATCAAAATTTTCTGTAAATAATGTAAAAAGTCATTTGCAGATTACAAAAAAAAGAGAAAATTAATAATTATTTAAAGATTTATTAAAAAAATATTTTATACATCTCCTAGCCTTTTTGCGTCAGGTAACTTGACTGGTTTAGCACTGAACTAGATTGTTTCTTCTATCTAGAGCAGAGTTTCCAAAATTTTTTTGTACCATGCTTCCTTTTGTTGGAATAAAAGTTTCTTGCGCCCCCACCCTTAACAATAATTTGTATGGGTCTAGGAACAAAACAAAAACAATTAAGTATTACATAGAAAACAAACTGACGGTCACAGCTGTAGTCCGTCTGAAGAGGTTTACTCTCCGGACACTGGAACTCATTCAAACCATGGGTGTATGTTACCTGAAGCCCAATCTAACTTAAAATCAACCATCACATATATAAAACAACATTATGTACAATCTTTTATAACTACAATTATTTTAAAGGGCTTTTACCCAAATATTTTGGTGGCCTAGGCATATCAACCTAGTGTTTTTTAAACTTGACGATGGAATTGTCATACCGAAAACGTCTGTGTTTTTAATGTAGCCCCTTTAAGGGTTTTCAAATATACCAAGTTACAAAGATTAACTTCTTTTTTTTGTGATACGTGGTATACAGCCAGCTGCAGAAATTATTTTCCTAGTGGATTTTTTTTAAATATAGATTAGATTCGTAAGTGAGATCGATGTGTTTGTAATTTCTTTACTAGTATGCCTATTCGTGACTGAGTTTTATTAAGTGCACAATGCAAGTCACTAGCAACATCCAGTTTATTCCGATCCTTTGTTTTAATTGCCAAGAGTGATGAACATGCAAATATAAACCAAGAGCTTCCCTTGATAGACTAAGATACACTTTAAAATATTTGAACCAAAATGAAGGTTTGTCCATTACATCAACGTTGTATTTGGCAGAAGAATCATGTTTTATTTGCAAAGCATCTTCTTGAAGTGATTCAGGCAGGGAGTCTATGTTGACATAGAATGGGTCAATTGATATTCTGAAAATACTATCGTCATAAGTGTTTGCGAAGTATTTCTAGAACTCTTCAGTTAAGCTCTCCAAATGGTTTGATATTTGGATTTTCAAACTTGATCCTTCATAAATGTTTTGAAGCGTGTTTCTTCTGAGATTAAGTTTACTTTAGGTAAACTCGAATAATTGCAGGGGTTTGCTAATATTTTACGCCTCCAAAGTAGTAATTTTTCAATATACATCTTGATCGCAACACGATGAATAACTATATTTAAATCTCTACCCTGCAGTTTTAGATTAAGGCTGTCCAACAAGTCAAAGATGTCTGACAAATAAACCAATATTACTTGGGTACAATGTTTTTTGAAGGCCACACTTAGTTCATTTTGCTTTTACTATTTCAAGAAGGTGATTACTTCATCTCCAAGGTCAAATAATCTTGCCAACATGTTTTATTTTGAGAGCCATTGTGCTTCTGTATCAAATAGCAGTATTTTCTGATCACCCCCTAAATCTTCACAAAGAGTTTTAAACAGTCGAGTATATTTAACGCACTGTTATTTATGTAATTCACTACTTCAATACACAACTTTAAGGCAGCATTCAGTTCATTTGAAAGAGTTTTTGCTGCAAAGCTTGTAGATGTATAACACCATGTATCCTAATCACATCAGCATTTTTCTCTCTTACTAATTGTACAAATCCTAAGCGAGAAATAAGCATTGAAGGCGCGCCATCCGTACATACATCGATCAGTTTTTGCCAAGAGAATTCATGTTTGTCAAAAAGTCTAACACTGCTTTTATAACCTCAACAATTTTTGTGGTCTCCAAATCTCTGTAGAAACGAGTGCTCGTCTTTCATTCTTTCGTTTTCAATATATCGAACATAAACAAATAAACTGAGAACATTGTGCTATGTCTGTACTCTCGTCTAGCTGAATAGCAAAAAATGGCGATTGTTTTACTAAATCAACTACCTGGTTTTGTATGTCTTCGGCCATATCATCAATACGACGTTTTACAGTATTGTTGGAAAGAGTTATTTAAGATAACTTTTGCTTACTTTGCGTTCCAAGAATAATGTTAGCTGTCTTTAACAAACATGGTTTAACAAGCGTCTCTTCAATAAAATGGCTCTTCTTTTCTTTAACAGTCTGAAGTGATAGCTTTTATAAAGCTTCAAGCACTTTTTCAGATGAGTGAGTCGTAGCCAGTACTATACTATATATATCCAACTTTATGCGTTTTAATTTGTTAGATTTAGTAGCAAAAAATTTCTTTGGTTTGTCCTTAAAAGAGTTATGTTATTATGACAAATGTCTTTCAAGATAATTAGGTCTCATTGCATCCTTGCTTAATTCTTCTTCTTCAAGTGCCATCTCCGTGGCGGAGGTCGGCAATCATCATAGCTATTCGGAGTTTTGAGACGGCTGCTCTGAAAAGTTCATTTGATGTACATCCGTACCACTCTCTCAATTTGCGCAGCTATGACATTCTACGCCTCTCTATGCTTCTCTTTCCTTGGATCTCTTCCTGCCTAATCAGTTGGAGCAAGGTATATTCCTCTCCACGAGTAATATGTCCGAGATATTCAAATTTTCTTGTTTTAATTGTATTTAAAATTTCCATTGCTTTGTTCATCCTTCTTAGAACTTCTTTGTTTGTGACGTGTTCTGTCCGCGATATTTTCAGAATTCTTCTTTCACCCAGAGCTAGAATGATTCTAGTTTTTTTATTGATGTCGCATTCAAGGTCCAAGATTCCATTCCATTAAATGAAGTCGAGAAAACATAGCACCTCGCCAACCTAACTTTAAGTTCCAGTTTTAAATTACTGGTACATAGCACTCCTCTCATTTTGTTGAAATTTGCTCTAGCCTTTTCTATTTGTTCAATTTTTTCACATGCGAAAAATCATGACATTTTTTCGCTGTATTATTAACTATCCTTTTATCACAATTTTACAATCAATACCTTAGTCCAACCCTTGATAACTCTTCCTATTCCAGTTTAACCCCCTCCCTTAAGAAATACAGACCGTTTTAAGATAGCAAAGAAGAAAGTCTCTCTTGCTGGTCGGCTGCCGCTAAGGACAGACCATTCTCTCTCCTCTTGGTTTGACCACCGCTAGGGCCAGACGTACTCTCTTGATCTGACTACCGCCAAGGCAAGTCGTGCCTTTTTGGATTCTCGGCTACCGCTATAGACAGTCATTCTGTCTCTCTCTTCGATTATCAAGAAGAACAGCATCGATCTTATTATTATTATTATTATCCCAGATTTAGCCATACGGCTCACACTCCCTCTAAGGGGAATTACTCCCTCTATTATTATTATTATTATTATTATTATTTTTATTATATAACAAATAAGGGCAGAGGAGCGAGCTCCTATTATGCCCAAAAAGCAAAAATAAACAAAAATAAAATAGATCCTTATAAAACTAATACTAATTATAAAGTTAAGTAGTTAAACAGTTAACGAAAATTGAATTGTGACACAATAAATAAATAAATAATGCTGTCCGAGAAAAAATATCCTATCCTATAAAAAAAAATAAAGTGCTGTCAAGTTTATTTTTAAAGATGTTAACACTAGCTGCCGATATGGTGTCTTGATCCAAATTGTTCCATATATTAAAGATTCTGTTTGGCAAGAAGTTCGCCCTGGACCTTGCAGTAACATCAAAAACAGTTTCGAGTTAGCACGTTTACACACCGACACTATGTGATCAGACCAATTTAAGTCACTATTAATTATCACTCCGAGATCGTTCCATTCTGAGGACTATTTGAATATTGCGTCAAGATCTTGTTTAAGAATATGTTGGTTAATAGTTGGATTCACATATAACTTAGTGTCATCAGCGTAAATAGAAACCTTACTGGATACAATGAGCGGAAGATCACTAGTGTAGACCCAAAAAAGTAGCGGTCCAAGTACTGATCCTTGTGGAACTCCACTCTTGACTGGCTTATCTAATGAGTGGTCTTCCCCAACACGAACCCTGAAGTATCTGTCGGATAGAAAATCTTGTATCCAAATGTTTAATTTTCCGCGGATACCATAGTGATCCAATTTAGCTAGTAATCGACGTTTTGGAACACGATCGAAAGCTTTGGAGAAGTCTAAGTAAACTACATCGACAGGATTCCGATTGTTTAAAGATAATGACCAATCATTTACACAATGAAGTAAGTTTGTGATCGTTGAACGACCTTTGATAAATCCATGCTGTTGGTGAGGGATGATTTTGGTTTTTTCTTGGAAAAACTCTTGGCTGTTTTCTATCGCAATTACCTCTTTCCCGCCTTAGTTACGGGAGAAATACCGAAAATACTGTTTTAACACGTGTTTAGAAAAACCGCGAGTGTGCTCGGACATATTCCGCATAAGAGGAAAAACCGCGAGAGTGTGGAGCAGACAAACCGCGAGAGTGTGGAGCAGAAATATTGGAAAGACTTTGTATAAACTTAATTTGCTATTGTCTGTATACCTTTTACTACATATCCTAATTTATTTGAACCAGCCCTATATAATACAGTCCACATACATTAAAATTATACTAATAATTTCCCACATATGTACACCCTTTTTGTACACTATTCTTATTTTAATCTCCTGAATGTCATCATTTGTGGAGTTAATCATTGTTCCCAGATATGGATATTTGCCCACTTGTTCGACGTTGGTTTTGTTTATTAGAAGAATTGTTTAATACTTCATAGCAAATTACACGCTGATGATATTCGGCATTATTTTTACGTATACAAATAAACCCATATTTGATATAATCATCATTATACTTGCGTTTCTTTGTTGAGCTCATCTTGACTACAATAAATTATCTTACTTAAATTAACGAAAACAATGAAAGTCAACTACTGGTGGGGTAAACTGTGCAAATACCGGTCAGTGGGTAATGGCGGTCATCCCGATTGTGCGAAATCTATTCAATCTGGCAACCTCCTATAACTGCCAACGTGTCGCTACACTACTCTGTATTCAGATTGCTGATGAGCGTTGAGTTGGCGCAAACCATTGTCATAGAAATATTATTAACCTGTTTTCAGTGTTTTCGATCTTATTTTTATGCTGAGTAATATAAGGTCTTAATTCATTTTTATTCACGTGTAGATCTTAAAATTGGTTACAATTGATTATAATGACGTTAGCTGCCTATTCCTTTTTTAAAGATCAATATTTTAGTACATGTTTACGAGTAAAAACTTCTAAGAAAAAAAATGCCAACAGGCGGCAATGCCGGTCAGTTGACCGGTATTACCCCCATGCTATAATTTATACCCTATACTATTAATCCTTAGGGATTAATCCATCCATTTTTCGACCTTGCAAGAAAGAATAAAAAATAAAAATCTTCAAGGTGTCTCATTAGGTAGAAAATCAGTATTTTCTGTCGAACAAGAAGCTAAAATAGCCACACAAAAAAATATTTAGCTTAATTTTTTATGGCGTAACAGCAATAGAACTGAGAAAATTAGCATTTGGGTTTACAAGATAATTTTTCTTGTAATAAAACACCTTTTTCTTGTAATTGGCATTACAAGAAAAAGGTGTTTGATTCTAGTTCTTTGGAATCGGATATTGATATATCATGTGATAACAGTGACGATGCATACGAAGATAGATGCCTGGTTTACAGCGAGTTTGGCAAAAACAATGAATTGTAGTATATATTTACCGTTTGCTCACGATGGGCTTATTCAGAGTGCAGTGGATGGGATTCTGCAGAGAGTTATACCTGCGATGACTGTCAACTATTTTTACATTAAAACACATATTTTTGTTATTTTTTGTTTGTTTTGTAATAAAAAATATTTTTTCACCTTTCTTACTGATTTGTTACAAAAAAATGTTAAATAAATATTGATTTTTATTTTAATAATAACACAAACAAATTGACTGGCAATACCCACACTCATGACCGGTATTGTCCATGTATGGTTACAATACTGGTCAAAGATACTTTTTTATGTTTTGTCTCTGTCAAAGACAAAAATTTTATATTTTTGAAATTAAATGTATCTTGCAATAAGTTAAAACCCCAAATTACGGATTGACGGCTTAAATTCGATTCACAGAGTTTTACTTTTTTTTATATTAAATTTTCTTCTTAGGTGACCGCGATTTGCACACTTTACCCTACGCTTTTATAATGCAAAAATACGCGCAGGCTAGGCCGAGGTATCTCAAACACAGAGTCACAATTGATTAGCTGCGGTTATTTGGCCTGCGTCTGGTGAGGGGTGGAAAGGAGAGAGGCAGTGCTTGTCTGTATTGTCAAATGCGCACTATTGCCACATTAAACGGCTCACATTCCATTCTTTCAAGCATTCGATTCCAAATGGACCGCAGGAGTGATGACGTAGATTTGATTGACATCTGTCAGTTTCACTTTCCAAACAAACGTTGTTTAGTGTGGATAATTTGTATTTTTCGTTATTTTTTAATTTTTTTTTACAAAATCTTTCCGCTTTTTACAATATCTAAGTATTCTAATAGTTACTACAACAAGTTTACAAGGTTTTGTAAATAATAAAGCATGCTGTTTCATAAAAATAGCAATAAAATGCATGCATCAATAAAGTAAGGTTAGAATGTCCTTAATATATACTTTTATACTATATTTCATAAAAATAGAACACTGAATTTTGATGGTATTATCGTAAAAAATACTAAACTTAAAAGAGAAAGTAGCAAAAGATGCAAAATGTTAACTTTATAGAAATTAAAAAGTCTTGAGATTTGACATTTCAACTATTGTTTAGAAAGTAATGACAACAATATGACAGATGTGACGTCACACTCCGGCTGTCCATTTGTGTGTAAAGTCAGATGTTCAGTGATTTGTTACAGAGGGGGCGCCTCCACCAGTTTGGGAACCGCTGACCTAGAGGAACTTACGTACATATTCAAGCACTTTTATCATTAATTCTGTTTTCGTAATGCTCTTCATAATATACTTTTAATAATCCTTTGGTTTTCCAAAGTTTTAGTACCATATTTTTGAGCGAACACTGCACTTTGAAATTATTATGATATACCTACTCTTTTATAATGTTTCCTAAATTTTTTAGGACCTTGTTCCGGTCTTTTTTAGCTTTTTTCCCCAACCTACTTCTTGGAAATCATTTAAGCATTTTGCACAAATTATTACCAGTGGACAGTTCCAAAAATATGATTTTGGATTAAAGGAAAATATGAAGATATACAAACAAAATGAACCACCAAAGTATAATATTAGTAACATTGCTCTGCCGGTTCATTTTTTCCTTGGTACCAATGACAATTTAGCAACCATTAAAGTAAGTAAAAGTATTGTGTTTATATACAGCTGAACTGCCTTGAAAGGTATTGGGCGAGTTTTCTTCATCATCATCATTCTCATCATGCAGCCTTCATTTATCACGTCCACTGCTGAACATAGGTCTTCCTTAAACTCCTTTATTCTTTAAGATTTTGTGTAATTTCGCTCGCCTATCATAAGTCGTGCATTCTCACTACATGGCCTGCCCAGATTCATTTCAGTTCCGCTATGCGTTTCACATAAGGAATAACGGTACTTTTTCGCAGATCTTCGTTTTTTATTCGGTCCCATAACGTTATTCGCAGCATAAACCATTCCATTCGTCTCTGTGCGACTCTCAATTTCGAAGCTGTAGTCTTGGTTAGAGTCATAGTTTTCGCCCCATAGATACTGGTAATACGCATTGGTAAAATACTTTTTTGTTTTAAGGCTAATTGATATGTTGGCCCTAAGTTGTCTCGCAGTTTTACAAAGGCTGTCCACGCTAAAGAAATTCGTCTTTGGGTTTCGCATGTTTGGTTATTCCTGCTAATTCTTATTTCATCCCACAAATTCCAAATGCGTATATTTGTTCACCAGTTCTACCACTTTGTCTTGAATAGTTAAATGGTTATTGGGGACCATATTTGTCACAAACTTATTTTTGGTCAAGTTCATTCTGAGACCCATTTTCGAACATGCAAAGTCCAATTTATTTAACATATCTGTGGCTTCTCCTAAATTATCTCTGATAAGGACAATGTCATCTGCTAAACGGAGATGGTTAAGCTTTTCGCCGTCTATTGTTACTCCTCTGTGGTCTCAATTGACCATCTTAAAGGCATACTCTAATGCCGTTATAAATACTTTTGATGACAGTATATCTCCTTGCCTAATCCCACTTTTTATTTTCATTGGTCGGGATTTATCGTGTATCTTAACAGTTATAGGGACATTTTTGTAAATATTGTAAATAAGTTCACTATACTTATGTTTAATCCTGTCGAACGCTGTCGAACACTTTATGAAAATCTATGAAAGTGAAAACAAGAGGTTTGTTGTATTCTATAGATTTCAAACAAATATAGCAATACAAAATCATACCATAGAAAATGTTGAACATTATGTATATTTAGCACAGTCTTGTTCGATCATTGATAGAGAGAACACGTATATTTACAGGTGCTTAAATAGTGATTAAGACCAGTTTTTTGTGACTATCAATAATAAACCAATTTCGCTCCGGGCATATAAACCCAGTTTTTGTGTTTATTTAAGTGTTTGTTATTGTTTTTGTTTGTGTGTATGTAGTGGTAATTTACAAAAATGGATGAAAACTTTCCCCTGACAAAGGGGGATCCAAAATATGGACACCAAAGTGTCTACACCTGTTGAACCGTTAAGAGCTGAAGCAATCAAACCTCCATTAGAACTGAGATCATTTTTAGCTGAAAAAATGATTATTAAGTCGCTAAAGAAAAACTCACCATTCATTAGCAGCATGTATAAATTAAACGAATACGACCTAACTAAGCCTTTTTGGATTCATAAACACTCTCCTCCTATTTGTGATGGATTAAGAAACATGACCTTAAAACCACAAACAAAGTTAGAGACCGACTACTTTGATCACTTTGTTTCCTGTGATGTGAATATACCACTTTATTCGGAGTTAGCATCATTTAATAGTATAGTCATAAATCAAATTTTAGAGGAACATCCAAATTACGTCACTATATACACTGATGGATCAAAAAACACCGATGGTACAGGTTGCGCTTTCGTAATACCTAAACGTATACAGAAAAAATACAACTTAAACAAAAACACATCTATTTTCACAGCTTAGGCAATAGCAATTCTAAAAGCACTAGAATATGTTTATCAGGAAGAGGATCAGAATGCTATAATCTTTTCCGATTCACTTTCCGTTCTTAAAATTTTAAAATCAAACTCAAACACAACTAATGATATTAGTTTTAGCATCCAAGCAATACAATAAACAATTACAAGATCAGAATAAATATATAAAATTCTTCTGGGTCAAAGCACACGCAGGAATAACAAACAATGAAATTGCAGATCAAATTGCCAAAGAAAGCATAGTAATGGGGAACAAATAAATTACGAATTAACTACAGACGAACAAATAATCATAGCAAAACAGAGAATGATGAAGAAATGGTTCTATTCATGGTAAGAGTACAGCTTCACAAATCCAACACGTTACACCAGACTTGAAACCAAATTAAGGAGAAAACCTTGGTACAATGAGTACGATTACATTCAAAAAAGTATAACTACTATCAGCAGAATGAAGATCTTTGCGAAGCCTGTAATAAAATCGGTGATCTTGACCACATCTTCCTCAACAGGTGGACACGGAGATTTCTGTAATGGAGCAAGAAGCATGAGAAGACCTCAAAAAGATGGGTAGATGACATAAGAGCAGTAGCAGGCAAACAGTGGACTAGACTGGCGCAAGATAGAGAAAGATGGAAGCAATTGGGAGAGACCTACATTCAGGATTGGATGAAAAATGGTTGACAAAGAAGATAGATTTTTCAATGAGGGTCTTTACTGTATGAAGGTGATCATTGGTACCATAATTTTAACGGAGTCCTACCTGCTCTCTCGATTGGTAGAAATCTAATTTTTTCTCCAACCCTTGATTTCACTAACCTAGTAAAATGGTTATAGTGTATATGTGGTTCAACAGAGTAATTTGATATATAATTTTCTAGGTCTGTTCTATCCCATTTGTTATGCAAAAAAATGGTTATAGCATTGTTACATTCTTTCGATATCTCTTTTTGCTGCAAACCATATAGCCAATGTCATCTACACTTATCTCTGACATTAGTTCGTAACCTTGATTCATGATCTTCTTTGAAATGACTGTTTGCATTAGTGTTTGATCTTCTCGTCTGCTTCCATATAATTTCTCGTAAAATGTATATTAACTCGTCTCTACGTGATATTATTACGTTTTGCTTGTTTCTTAATTTATTGGTTAAGCTTACGCTTCTTCAAGAAGGGGCTGCGCTCTTGTTTTGTTGTAGCTTGAGGGGAGTGAGCAACCTTAGTTGTGAGTTCATTATTTTGGATTGTGGGTGAAGTAGGTGGATGTGGAGATGAATAACATGGACTGTATATATCATATTACATTCCCGGTCTTTTATATCTATATTTTTACTATACCAGCGGTCATTATGTAGATATAATATGAAAATAGTATAAATGTAAATTTTTTTAGTATTTTCAGTTAGTGTTTTTTTAGGACAATGATTACTTAATAAGTATTCTACAAAAGAATGGTGTCACAACTTCCAGACGTATTTATGACGAATATGCACACAACGATATCTTCTTGGGAAAAGACTATGATAAGTTTGCTAGTGATGTGCTGAGTGTATTGGACATTCTAAGAGAATCAAATCAACCCATTAAATGAAAATTATTTGTTAAAGAAAAAAGAATAAATCTTGTTTAAAATAATTTGTAGTTTTATAAAATAAATCTAAACTATTCCATGAAAGTATGTATTTCACACCCAACAGAGCGGCGTCAACACAAACAAAAATTAGAGTCAAAGGAGTAAATACGGAACCCACGAAATGCTTATACAGAAAAAGAATATCAGGCAAGTGCTATGAATGAAATGTTAGAAAAAGATAACCAGGAAAGGTGAAAAAATCTCAAAAATATTTTAGTTAACACAAAAAGGGAAACAAATCAAACCCACAGAAGTACAGAGGAAATAACGTATGAAGAACATGTACCGAGGCTATATTTATAATGAGGTAAGAGCAAGAGAAATCATTAAAATATGACAAACAGACATATCTGTTGGCGAAATAAATTCTCAACACAATACAATATACTTTAACATATTTTATGTTTTGTGTGACACAACGTGTCTCGACTTGAAGTTCCATTGTTAAAAAACAAAACGTTCGTTATAAAAATGTCAGACAGAAAGGATGGCTTGCTCCCTATCTAGAAGCAAGATATTGCTCTCATATTTCTTTCTGTTTTTCAGGGTCTAATTCCATTTGATTTTTCTTGTTTGATACAATCGATGTGTTTGGGTTTCCATATTCCAGCTACTTCTTTAATCTTTCTGTGTAGTTCTCTATTTTTATGCTTCATTTGCAAATCTTCTACCTCTTTACATTTTTCTTTCATCCATTCAGTCTTCCTTAACTACATTTATTTTTTCTTAATTTCCCTGTTGAGTTTCTTGTATCTTGTTAGGGTTTTTGTTTTTTACCATCCGTCTCCTCTCCATTATTTGTAATATTTCGTTTATCATCCACGGTTTTCTATGTTTACGGTTTTCTTTCTGTATACTTTGGTCTGCTTTCTGAATCCAAGACAGTATTTTAAATTTTCCCCCACATGTCTTTAATGTTTTCTTTTATTTTCTTCTCCTTAGCGGGAGCTATTATCTTAGACCCTAACTGCGTGTCTACCATGTCTTCATACTTCTGTTGCTGTCCTTGGTCAGAACTACTCCATGTTATTCTCTGACTAAGTTTAGCCTTATCTACTCTTTTAAGTTTTAATCGGATAGTTGCTTGCTACTACAGGATTGTGGTCTAAATTTATGTCACAGCTTGGGTAGAAACCTCCACGTATATAGACGTCTTTTAGGTCATTTAAACCATGTGTTAAGAAATGTAAAAACATAATAACTGAGAAAGCAATAAAAATATTGGGGAAAACCAAACCAGTTAAAGAAAACGAATGGTTTGACAAGGAGTGCCAAGAAGCAACAGATAACAAAAACAGGGCATACTTAGAGACAAATCAAGCTCGATGTACAAAAAGAGCAAAGGAAGAATACCGGACACTAAGAAGAGAAGAAAAACGATTGCATAGAAAAAAAAAGACAATTTGAGCAAAAGCAATTGGAAAGCACAGAACTTCTAAGAAATCAAAATGAAACTCGAAAGTTCTACAGAAATCTAAACAAAATGCGCAAAGATTTTAAGCTAAGAATAAGGAGCTGTAAGGATGTAGAAGGAAACATCCTAAATGATACGGCCTCAATCCTAAACAGATGAGCTGAATTTTTCGATGCAAAATTTAATGGCCATCATATCGAAGAAGCAGATAACACCCTAGCAAATCGAAATTGTTGGAATCCTTTAAACCCAAACGAAAGACCACCTACCATCGAAAACGTTGCCCAAGCCATTAAAAAGCTTAAAAATAATAAATCACCAGGAGTTCATCAAATTTGCAGTGAGCTCTACAAGAATGTGGGCAATGTCCTACTACAGACACTGCAGAAGCTTTTAGTTCCTGTTTGGCATAATGAAACCATGCCTTGTGAATGGTCTCAAGGCGTGATATGCCCGTTACATAAAAAAGGTGACCAGCTCCAGTGTGACAACTATAGAGGTATAACCCTGTTAACAACTGCTTACAAAATACTAGCAAATATTCTCTACGAAAGGTTGCAAGTTTACACAGTGGGCATAGGTAAATGGTAAATATTAAGCTGGATTCACTCCAGAAAAATCAACAATTGACCAGATTCATTCAATAAGACAGATTCTCGAGAAAACATTAGAATTCAATATTGAAACCCATCAATTATTCGTCGACTTCAAGGCCGCATACGACAGTGTCAAGAGAACAGTGCTATACCAATCAATGCATAAGTTTGGTATACCAGAGAAACTTATCCGACTAACGAGAATGACAATGTCTAACTTAGAAGCCAATGTTAGAATACAGGAAGAGAGTTCTAGATCCTTTGAGATAAAGGATGGACTCAGACAAGGAGATGCTCTGGCTTGCCTCCTATTTTATATTGCCTTAGAAAAGGCAGTCCGAGATACACGAATTAGGGATGGCGGTACTATTTACAATAGATCGATACAAGTCTTAGCATATGCTGATGACATTGACATAGTAGGGCGTAGCAAGCGAGATGGTGAGCAATATCTCCTAGAATTGGAAACAGCGGCGAAACAGGTCGGTCTAGTTATCAACGAAGACAAAACCAAGTACATGTTGGTTACAAAGGATCCGATAGCAAATAAGGAACGAGAAACATTCTTTGGAAGTCATACCTTTGGACGTATTGACAACTTCACATACCTTGGGTCGCTATTGACTGCTACCAATAAAACAAGCGAAGAAATCAAAAGACGAATAAATCTTACAAATAAGGCATACTATGGACTCCAAAGGCATTTCCACTCAAGAGACATTCAAAGAAGAACTAAAATTATTATATTCAAAACATTGCTGAGGCCGGTCCTCACATATGGAGCAGAAACATGGACTCTAACGCAGAAAGATGAAAGACTTTTGGGAATATTTGAGCGTAAAATACTCCGCAAAATATTTGGAGCTGTAAACGACCAATCTGGCTCTTTAATGAGCCAGATGTCATAACGTTCATTAAAACACAGCAACTTAGATGGGCTGGACACATAATACGAATGCCAGAAAATACCATTGCTAAAAAGTCAACCACAGGAACACTTGTAGGAAAAAGAAGCAAAGGCCGACCGCGAATTAGGTGGTTAGATGGAGTTGAAACCGACTTACGAATATTAAAAATCAGAAGATGGCAACATGTTGCCAAAAACCGAACAGAATGGCGATGAATCTTAGAGCAGACCAAGATCGACAGATGATTGTCGAGCCAAAGATGATGATGATGATGTTAAGAACCACCAGGTTGTTCTCTTGGCAAAATTTAACAAGGCGTGTGCCTCGTTCGTTTCTGGTTCCTAAACCATATGGGCCGATGATCGATTCGACTTTTTCTGTTCCTACTTTGGCATTCTTATCTCCCATAAATATGTTGATGTCGTCTGATTCTATGTGTTTTTTGATCTTTTCAATATCGGAATAGAAAATCTCAAGATCTTTGTCTGGACTGTCTGCTGTTGGTGCGTATATTTGTATTATATTAATGTCGAATGGTTTTCCATTTAATTTAATAATCATTAATCTGTCGCTGACTGGTAGAAAACTTTTCCTGGGTTGTTTTATGAATGCTGGTACCAACACTTCTACACCTGACTGGGCATTACCATCTTTGCTTGAATAATAGAAACGGTTGCCATTTACTGTATCCACATATCCTTCTCCCTTCCATCTCACCTTGCACATATCAAGAATGTCCCACTTAATTTGTCTCATTTCATTTTCAGCATTTGCTAGTTTGCCTGCTCTATATAAAGTTTTAACGTTCACGTTTCCTTCCGGGGATTCTTAGCACTTCTTGACGATTAAACGCCTGCCGGTAACGAGGAGTCATGTTTTGATTTTGACTTGCCATATTAACTATCTTGGGAATTTAATGCGATGGTTTCCCAATGCCTTTCACATCCTATGAAGACGGGATGCCGTTCATCCGCCTTCGGGGACAATTTTTCCTCCCGAGGACTAGAAGGTGCCCTTGCGTCATTCCTAAGAATAACGTTAAATGCTTATACCGGCAAACACTCGGTCCCCATCTGCGTCAGCCACCTAAGCTATCTACCCGTGTTGCCCCTCTTTTACCGCGTGAAGGTGCAGATTGGGGGTTTCCCTTCATTGACATCAAGACTATAAAGGCATTTCTTAATTCTCTCCAGTACTTTTAGAAGACATTACAAATACAGTAATTTATAATATCATTTATATCTATTAAATAGTGTCCATCACATATTTAAAGAAAAAGAAATAAAAATTCTATTTAAAATTTATTGTTTATATATTTTTTAAACTGCTCTCTTTTAAAATTTAAATTTTGTTAGGTAATAAAGTTTAGCAATGAGATACATATAAAGGGAACTCTGATCCTTGCACTCCTATTATTTATACTTCTAGTATTTGCTCCCAATTATTATATTTTCATTAATGTTGCAGGCACTCCCAATTTTAGTCATCTCCACTTTAACATTATTACCTTCCAATAATAATTTTCATATAGTTGTGACCACGCTTGTTATCTATTCCTCCAAACTCTCCCAACTTCCATCGAGCGCATGTCCCGCAACTTTCTGCATGGAGAGAATTTCCACTGGCTAGACGTTGAACATTATTCTTTTGTCTCGGGGGAGAATACAGCCAGTTTTCCGCTGGTCCGACGATAACGTGCGATAGATCGAACTACGATACCGGCATAAACAAAGTTTTTAGTGGTTAATAATCGGTTTTGGGTGCTCTAATTGGAGACTGTGGGCAAAATCTGAGTAAGGTAGGTAGAAAGGTTCTCTAACTATTTATGAACATGGCTTTTCATAAGTAATTTTTATTGTAAAAGCGAACATTAAAAAAACAAGTCAATTTGCTTTAAAAAATTATTTTTAAAGAACAACACAATTACAAACTCTTTGATTTGAAAACTTCCCTTGCTGTTAAAATTGTTTACCAAGACATAATAAAATAATTTATTGACTTTAATGTGAAGTAACCACAAGTTTACTTTAAAATAAGTTTGTTTTGATGTTTTGATTTTCCACTTGGAACATTTTTCCACTTTA